CACACTAAGACTGAATATCATGTTCTATTTGCAATTAAAGATTGATAATTGTGTGTATTGGGTTATTGAGAAGAGACTAGAGAGTGCTAGACATGTTTTTGGGCGGAGAGGGCCTTTTATCAGTTATTAAAGTTGAAAAGCAATGATTAAAATACGTCCATTCCGGGATTTGAACCAGCTGCGCGGAGGACATCGCTGCGCGGAGGACATCGCCGCATTCGGGCCGCCGGCTCTATCCACTGGACTATCTATTCCTTGAAATATTTAACTGTTTTCATATTACTGATAATTATCTTTTTGTTCACAACTTCTCCACATTTTGAAGTGTTTCCCGAGCCAGAACGACCTATCTTACTTCCTGGCTTGCTCTATAATGATATCAAATGCAATAACAACAACAACTCAACAGCAACAACGCAAACTACGACAACAACCCACACATTGTGCATTGTTTAGAGCGGTCATAAAGTGTTGAAGCACTCAAGTTTGAAACTGTTTCAACCTGTCACCTGTCAGAATCGAGACGAGGCAGTGCATTGAATCCCGTGAATGGACCGTGAACCAGTCAAGTGATTCATTCGGGAAATGAAGCAGTTGCTGCTTCGGACGTCACATGTCACGTGATTTGAAGCAGTTGCTGCTTCGGACGTCATATGTCACGTGATTTGAAGCAAGCTTCGAAGCACTGCTTCTATGGAATAGGAAGTCCAGGGTTGAAGCTCCGTTCGAAGCTTCAGTGTCAAACTGCCATCACTAAAGAGGAGGCAAATCCTACTTTGATTGAGCTAAGTATCGCTGGTGTTTTATTTTGTTTTTTAGCCCCTCATGCTATAATCATGTGTATTTTCTCCATTCCTGTTCATGTGTCTTCTCGCAATTATCACTGGCCCCGTGTATGTCCTAATCGGTATAACCGGCCTGCTCTCGTCTATCCCACATGCTCCACTGAGATCCAACATCTAGTTTCAGGTGGCCTGTGGAACTGCCAGTCAGCTGTTCCTAAGGCTGACTTCATCTCTGGCTACGCTTCCCTGCAGTCTCTGGATTTCCTTACTCTCACTGAGACCTGGATTACTCCATCCAACACATCCACCCCAGAAGCTCTCTCCACAGCATATTCCTTCTCCCATACACCCAGACCCACTGGCAGAGGAGGTGGTACTGGTCTCCTGCTCTCTCCCAAATGGAGCTTTTTCCTCTTCAAGCTACCTAACTTTACTCCTTCCACCTTTGAATTCCATGCCGTCACAGTAACCCATCCTATACAATTAACCATTGTTGTTCTCTACCGTCCACCAGGCGCCTTGGGGGACTTCTTGGAGGAATTAGACAATCTCCTCTCACACATCCCTGAAACTGGCCCTCCGGCTGTACTTCTCGGAGACTTCAACCTCCAGACAGGGAAGATAGACGAACTAACCTCTCGGTTAACCACCTTTGCTTTCTCACTGTCTCCATCCCCACCAAATGCACTACTTCTAACCTCTCTGTAAACCCGCTCCACACATCTGATCACTTCTTCATTTAATTCTCTCTACCCCTTTCCAAACATAACAAACTAATCTCTTCTCATCCTGCACCTGTCCGCCGCAACCTTTGTTCCCTCTCCCCATCTACCTTTGCTTCATCGGTGCTCTCAGCCCTCCCTTCCTCTGACTCGTTCCAACTCCTGCCTCCAAACTCTGCTGCAGAAACTCTCCTCTCTACTCTCTCATCCTCTCTGGACTCTCTCTGTCCTCTCACATCTCGGCAGGCTCGTCAGTCCCCTCCTGCTCCCTGGCTAAATGACGCACTGCGTGCTAATAGAACCGTCCTTCGGGCAGCAGAGCGGAAACGGTGGAAATCCAAACACCATGACGACCTCCTAACCTATCAGGCTCTCATCTTTCTCTGCTTCGATCTCTCAGGCAAAAATCACTTTCTTTCAAGATAAGATCCAATCTTCCTATTCCAATCCCAAAAAACTATTTTCCATCTTCTCCACCCTCTTGGACCCCCCCAAAGCCCCTTCCCCCTCCTCCCTTTTGTCAAGCGACTTTGTTAACCACTTTGAAAAAAAGGTTGATGATATTCGCTGTTCTTTTTCTGACTCACCTTTACTCACCGCTGGGTCACCAGACCCTCCCTTCACCCACACACTGACCTCCTTTTCCTCTCTCTCTCTCCAAGTGAGGTTCTTACCCTCATTACCTCTGCCCCGCCCTACCACCTGTCCTCTGGACCCTATCCCTTCAAACCTCCTTCAAACTATCGCTCCTGATATTCTATCATTTATCACCCATTTCATCAACACTTCTTTAACTTCTGGTCACTTTCCAAACAGTCTCAAGGAGGCAAGAGTAAACCCTCTCCTAAAGAAACCCACTCTCAACCCGTCTGATGTTATAAACTACAGGCCTGTCTCTCTCCTCCCATTCCTGTCTAAAACACTTGAACGCGCTGTCTTTAAACAACTCTCCTGTTATCTCCATCAGAACAACCTTCTGGATCAGCACCAGTCTGGTTTCAAGGCAGGTCACTCAACAGAAACTGCCCTCCTTGCTGTCACTGAGGAACTGCACACAGCTAAAGCAGCCTCCCTCTCCTCTGTCATCATCCTTCTGGACCTGTCTGCTGCATTCGACACGGTGAACCATCAGATCCTCCTTCGCACTCTCCAAGAACTTGGAGTTTCAGGCTCTGCACTTTCCCTCCTCACCTCATACCTCAAAGACCGCACCTACAGGGTAACTTGGAGAGGGTCGGAGTCCGACCCATGCCAATTAACTACAGGTGTCCCTCAGGGCTCTGTTCTTGGTCCCCTCCTCTTCTCCATATACACAAACTCGCTCGGATCAGTCATTAGCCCGCATGGTTTTTCTTACCACTGCTACGCTGACAACACCCAATTAATTCTGTCCTTTCCCTGCTCAGAGACCCAGGTCGTTGCACGCATCTCTGCTTGTCTAGCTGACATCTCTCATACCTCATTCACACCAACAGTGTTTCAGGGCCGGTTCGGAGCTGGAGCTTGAAAAGCCCCGGGTTGTCCTCTTCACACCGCAGCGGAGCAGCCTCTTAGCTCCGGAATCCGGTTCATTTCGAGCACCAACAAATTGTCCGGCCAGAGCAAAAGCACCACATACGTCACGCTTACGTCGAGGCAGGGGCGGGGGCAGGGCAGGGATCAACTCCTGAACAACAACAAAAAGCCCGCGTTGTATCCAGATTGGTTTGTACACAACGAGAAACTTAACAAACAGCAGTGGTCCACTGAAGAGACCAGCTACCTACTGGGAATCTGGTCCTCCGAAGAGGTACAGAGGAAGCTGGACCACAATCGGCCATTGTTGTTGTTGTCGGTGTCAGCTGTGAGGGGTTTCCGCGCGGTTTGGCTTTATGAAGCAGGCACGCAAACGGTTACGTCATGACGCAAACGATGACACAATGACGCAGCACCAGTCGGACTCTGGGCAGTGTGAAAAAAGCCGGAGCTAAACCGAAGAACCGGTTCTGAACCTGAAAAGCTCTAGCACGGAGCTTGAGCCGGAGTTGCGTTGGTGTGAATGAGGTATCAGTGAATGTCTGCTCACCACCTCAAGCTCAACCTTGACAAGACTGAACTGCTTTTCCTTCCGGGAAAAGATTGTCCCACTCTTGACCTAACAATCAACATCGGCACCTCTATTGTTTCCCCGACTCAGACTGCAAGGAATAGGTGTGACCCTAGATAACAAACTGTCCTTCACTACAAACATAGCTGCTACAACCCGCTGCTGCAGATACACTCTTTACAACATCAGGAGAATACGTCCCCAGCTGACCCAGAAAGCGACGCAGGTTCTGGTCCAGACTCTTGTCATCTCACGCCTAGACTACTGCAACTCCCTCCTGGCTGGTCTACCTGCATGTGCCATCCGACCTCTGCAGCTCATCCAGAATGCAGCGGCTCGTCTGGTCTTCAACCTTCCTAAATTCTCCCACACCACGCCGCTCCTCCGCTCCCTCCACTGGCTTCCAGTAACTGCTAGAATCCACTTCAAGACACTGGTACTTGCGTACCATGCTGCGAATGGATCTGGCCCTTCCTACATCCAGGACATGGTTAAACCGTACACCCCAGCACGTGCACTTCGCTCTGCATCAGCCAAACAGCTTGCTGCACCCGCACTGCGAGGGGGACCCAAGTTCCCATCAGCAAAAACACGTGGGTTTGCTATCCTGGCTCCAAAATGGTGGAATGAGCTCCCCATTGATATCAGGACAGCAGAAAGCTTACATATCTTCCGGCGCAGACTGAAAACTCATCTCTTTCGACTCCACTTCGAGCGATAGAACTATTAACAAAGCACTTATATACTAATAAAGGACTGGCTTATCTAAAGCCAGTTGAGTAGCACTTGAAATGTTTTAGCTCTATAAAACCTGATGTACTTATATGATTCTGTTTTCTTCAAGTTTGTATTTTGTTGGTCGAACGCACTTATTGTAAGTCGCTTTGGATAAAAGCGTCAAATAAATGTAATGTAATGAGTACCAAGACGATGCAAAACTGGCTAAACAGAATACAAAGTGCAACCTGAAGTAGTCATTTGCAGCTCTGAAGCACTATGTGTGTGTGACACATCCATTTTATCATGCAAACCTGCATACTGTACTACAGCTAAACATGACGGAGAATAAGATCTCCTCTGTTACAACTTACAAGTACCTTTTGTGATTGGTGTTGAACTTTTCCTGTCGGCTTCCAGAAACTAACTTCAAAATAAGACTGAGAGGTCTGATTAAAGAAACACATAAAAGCCTGAAGATGGTGCTGCTCCAGGTAAACAACACTCTCTAGGCTTATCCTCTCCCTGATTCCCTACAGAGGTATTTTATCAAAAATAACCAACCTATACATGGTGTACACGATTCATTTCAGAATTAAATGACAGACAATAAGTAAACCAACAACATGTGGTCACTGCTAAATCTGCTCTGTGTATCATGCTGAGCTCAGTCCGACAAACACACATACATATAATTATAGTTTTTAATAAGCCTCAATTTGGGTTTCTCTATGCTATCTGATGGTAGATTGCAGTTTTCTCTGACCTTTGAAACAGATACACCTATCAGAAGAGTGCCAACTACTTTTACAATTGTGTAGCACCATATTATTACATAATACTACAATCATACACAACATTAAAAGAGGGAGGCTGTCTCTTTTTCTGCAAGCCAAACACCAAATAAAAAAAACTTTAAATGTCTTAAAATTCCCTGATCCATTTACTTTTTTTTCTTTCAATGAATCTTAGAATATCTAGGATATTAATATTTCAATGTCTGTATTATAGTTGCACATCATATTGCAACATATATGATCTTGGGTTATGTTCGTTACACAGTGTACCCAAATATGATCATTTTAGTCTGGTGTAACCAGGAGTCCTTCAGAAACATCTTGCACCTGTCCAGAAACTGGGCGGCACCCGACAGCACTGGAGTTATCTCAGTTTTAGACAGAACAAAAGCCATTGCAACTGTTCCTCCAAGTACAAGCGCCCAGGGAGAAATCGCAGACGGCCTGCTCTCCGGTACCGCTCTGGTTCTGAAGGGTTGAGCCAATCGCTCCCACTGAGTGAGGATCGACTGACGGGCCCCGGCCCACTGTCCAGGCCCCGTGAGACGATACTGATATGGAGTGCAGGGACCAAAGAAGATCCTCACCCAGAGCACAGGATCTGTCAGCAGTAGTGTCAGGAGGTTTGGTCGAACACCCACCTGTGATTGGAAGTATATCATGAGGTTTGTATCTTACAGGTGCAATACAAATGATAACGCAATTTTATATCGAGATAAACTGAACCAACCTCCTTTGCCATGAAATCCAGGTAAGGGATGTATTCTACCTGGAGAGCTGCCGTTCGTGGGCAAGGATAGCTGAGAAAGCAAGTAAATGTGTTCACATTTCAAAAACAATTTAATTTATACGTGCAGGAAGAACATCTGCCTGTTCTTTTGAATGAGCTTCATTGTGAAGATGATGTCTACCTTTTCATGTTCCTCTTCCTCTCAGACTCTATGACTTCCAGCATTTTCTCCTTAGGTGGAAGACAGCTCGAACCTTGAAGATGAAACACAACAGCTGACACCTTGCACTTTTCAGTCCCGAGCGGGTGTGTTTACATTTAAAGCTCATAATAATTTACCGGTAAAGACCTTGACAGCCCATCGCGCCTGCATTTCCACAATTGGCGTGATTGGTCCTTTGGTTTGGAAAAGACCCATGACGGCCAGTGTGGGTCGTACCAGAGAAGGAGGAAACAGAGTCCTGAAATTACCAAAGTATATATTAATATATGGCAGTACTTACAAAATATATTTTAATATATTTATATATATATACACAATAACTCATAGGATGCATATTTTTTAACTAAAATGTTATTTTAAAACAGCACAATTTAAGCACAATTCAATCTTATGCTCTGTAAACATTTTTCTATAGTTTTATTTATTGAAATATAATTAGGATCTTTTTTTTGTTTTATTAAAAATGCTATCTATCTTCTCATGTGAAAGGTAATCTTACAACATTTACAACCCCTTAAGTTAAGTTTTAGTGTGGATTTTCAACTAGTAAAACTTTTTTTTTTTAAATTACACATAGCTATACAAACTCTACTGACAACATACTCACTTGTACAATGTCAGTTCTCGTTGAGGCCCGTCAGTTAAGACTGAAGGCAGGAATGGAAATGTTCCATTATAGCCTGTACAGAAAACCACAGCATCAATGTTCTCCTCCACTCTGCCATCTTCAAATTCCACTCCTGAGTCTTTGAATCCTTTTAGATTGGTTTTCATTACAAGCGCTCCCTGAAGGATTCGACCAGGCAGGTCATCATTGATCAGAGGCCTTCTGTCCATAAGTCTGGGAAATAAATGAAATGAAAGGAATCAACCACCTATCTTGTTACAAAGATTGTATCCTATTCAAAATGACACCATTGTATTAGATAGAGTAACAGTCTGCACTGCTGACAGCATTTTCACACTGGAATCATGCGGCACCTGTGTTTGGGCTTCAGACCATACAGTCTGTGGTCATATTTGTAGTTCAGTGCTCTCTCTGCTGCCCAGTTGACCAAAGTATTGGGCAGAAGCAGTGTGAGCATGTTGTTGAGTCTGGTGATAGCGGTCATGTCCAGAGGAAGACCATTACTGGACATCCTGCCAATCACCCAAGCCCCCTCGCGTGTGCTGAGAAATGTCTGTCAGAGAGATTTAAAAAGATAGATGTGAATTCATGGGTTACATATTTTGAAGTAACAATGTGCAGTGCAATCTTATAGCAGTTAAGTACACATTGTTTTCATCTATCCCCTGCTCCTCTGCCAAACTAAATTAAAGCTTTTCCTTTTTTTCCCATCTTACCTTCTTTGCAGATCTACTGATCTCCACTGCAATATCTCCTCCAGAATTGCCAATGCCGACCACCACCACCCTCTTTCCTCTGCAGGCATCTGCATCTTTGTATTCCCAGCTGTGAAAGCACCTGCCAGAAAACGTCTCATATCCTGGAGTAGATACAGATGGTGCAAAAGGAAAACAGTTACAGTATATGCAAGATGAATGCTCTTTCATCAAATTCTGTAAAATGTTTGAATTTGACAGACCTGGAAAACCTGACAGGGGTAAGGACGGATGAGTGTAGTGGCCCGAACACACCATAACTGCATCAAAGACGTTTCTCTCCTCCTCGCCATCCTTGTTAATTGTCACTATGTCCCACTGACCTGACAGAGAGAAATCCGGCCTCTGGGCAACACTCTTCACTGTGGTCTGTATCATGCATGACCACATTCAGAAAAAAAAGAAGAAAGAATTGATAACTTTAACTTCACATAGTATGTTGTATAAACTTGTGAAAAGATGGTGAACTCCTAGAGGATGACCTGGAAATGAATGTATCTGAGCAGGTCAAAGTGGTCAGCGTAGAGCCTGTAGTACTGCAGCAGCTGGGAGTTGTGCATGTAGTTTGGATAGTCAGCAGGCATGGGGAAATCACTGTAACACATCATCTCTTTGGAGGTGTTCACCACCAAGGAGCGATAGATGCTGGATCGCTCTGGCTCAGGTGACTCCTGTTGGCACAAACAAAACTTTGATAAGGACAATTTACTGAGGTTTGCAATTCTTTTGACACAATCTATTTTCAAACTGAATATCATTTTATTCCTGATTAGGTTGGGAACTCTTAGGCCATACTGTATCATAAAACCAATCTTTAACTGGCCACTACCTTCATGTATGGGCTACTCAAGGTGCCCCCCACTCACCTTAAATTTCCACAAGCCGCCAATGTCATCACTGCTCTCAAAGCAAACAGGCTCCAAGCCCTCCTCAACGCAGATCTTGATGCAAGCCAGACCAGAGCTGCCGGCTCCCACCACTGCCACACGTCGCACCATGGCTGAGAACTGAGAAAACAAGACGAAAAGTCTAAACAGCTATGATCACCTTTCCAGCATACGTCATCATTTACTTATTCATATTCAAGAGAATATCTGTTAATATATCCACTCCTCTTAAATAAACATAGCTTTTTGCTAAGAGCATTTGACTTCAGATTAACTCAAAATAACATGCATAACCAAGTGTTGGACTACTTCAGTAGACTAAATAGACAATTAAATAAAATGATAAAACAAAGGATTATGATTATTTCAGCAAAGCTAAGCATTTTCTGTACAAGAAGAGGTAACACTTATTCAAAAACAGCAATGTCAAATATCTAATTACATTTAGTAAGCCTAGGGAGGAGTAGCCTATTGCTCTGCTCAGCATGTGTAATGTGAACATCAAGAAAGATAAATGTTTGCATTGTTGAAGTCTGAAAAACTGCTCTCACCTTCCACAAGTCCCCGGTCAGCTGCGACTAAAATGCTAAACAGCCTCTACATTCACATGAACTGCATGTTTCTTATCTACAGAAGGCTATTGCAGGCGATGAACTTTGAACATGTCACCCTGCAAGCCAGTATTTCTGTTTCCACCTCAGCGGGACGGCTCTTGGCCCGAAAATACGTTTTTTTCTCTGGCACCATACAATAAAAAATCTCCAGAGGGAATTAAAAGAGAAAGGAAGCTAAAGTTAACTTTTTACATGCCCATTAAACCACATAGTATATACTCCATGATCCTCTGAAATTCAGAGGATCATTTTGAGTATATTCAGAATATATACTCAAGCTCTTATTATACATCCATTGTTGTCGAAACACTCGGATTGTAAACTCGAGTAAACACTGGAAGCGGAAGCGGTGTCTTTTGTTCTCCAGGTGACGCGAGCGATTCTGGCAACAACAACAAAAACACACTGACGAAATACACAATATAAATGATGTAGTTGTAAATGCAGTATACATAATCTTATAGCATCCTATGCTAGTATGCTTGCTTCACAACACATTTGACTTTCCTCCCGTTTCACCTGTAGTTTCAATGTCCCCGCCCCCCACCACATGATCAACAACACACACACAGAGAGCTCTTGATTAAGTCTTTATTAATGGGTCTACTCAAAGAGTGAGATGTCTTTATATATGTTTAACATTCCCTTACATTCTCTGTGATTTAAAAGCTTAAGACACATATATCTGGTTAATGTAGTTATGGTTGACATTTTACAAGCCAGCCAATGTTAACAGACCTGCTTGTGTTTATACGCAAACATGAAAATACTTTTACATCCACTACCAACTTTGAATTCCATTATTTTACACTTTAACTCAGTATTACTTTTTCAATACACTAAGAGTTTGTTGTAGGACATTTCTGACAGTAATCATTAGCAGTGAACGATTGTGTGGATCTACAATTGAAAACCAGGATTTTGTCACACCATACTTTTTGGATTGAAAATGTGCATATACAGTGGACTTTCTTAAGAAAAAAGGATATGGCATTTAAACAAACTAAACATATAGAAGTAGTAATAGCTTTAGCTTTAAAAGCAGCATAAACTGTGGTATTCCCATAATCACAACCCAAACAGGAGTTAATTGAACTAGATTACTTAAGGAAACAAGTAAAGTATTTGGTCTGCATATTGGAACATGTTTGATTTAACATGTTTAGGCTGTTTGTGGTCGCAGGTTGGCCAGCAGAGTGGGGATGGTGGTCGGGTTGCGCACATGGATGTAGTAAACGGCCGCTCCTCCAGCCATGAGGGTCAGGCTCAGCTTGAACAGGCTGCCAGCAACAGAGGCCTCTTTTGTCTCCAGCTGTAAGGGATAGGACGGAAAGTTACGTTGGATGTATACAAACATTATTTCATGTTTAAGACCACCACAATATATTTTAATCCCCTATTGCATCTATAGAGTATTACACTCCCTCTTCGATTGGTTCAAAGAGTCTGCAAAACTAAATTAGGAGTCAGAGCGTTCAGCTACCAAGCTCCTTTTCCCGGGAACCAACTTCATGTTGTTTTTAGGGAGGCAGACAGTGTTGAACACTTTGAGAGTGTGTTGAAGACCTTTCTTTTTAATAAAGCCTGTAGTTAGAGCTGGTTTAAGATAAGCCTATGTGTGTCCTCCTGACTCCTACAATTCTTGGTATTTTTTCTATTATCTATTTAATTTGTATCTTGTCTTTTAATTAGTTTCTTGTAATTGTTTTAATCCTTTAACACTGTCATCTATGTTTGTTAATCTGTAAAGCCCACTGAGATAAAAGTGTTTTGTGATATTGGGCTATATAAATAAACTTTGATTTGATGATTTGATTTGATGTTCAGATAAGTTGGAAAAGACACAGGTTCATAATGCATTACATTTCATAAGAGTCTTATGAAGAAACCGTGTTTATTTCAGACCTGTCTGGTTTTCAGGGGCTGGTACACGCGGTTCAACGTGGTTGAGATTGCTCTGCGGGCTCCGTCCCATTTCCCTGGTCCCTTCAAGCGGTACTGGTAGCTGGTGACAGGTCCCCACAGAACCATCTTGAACATTTGGTAGTCTGTGAAGAAGAGCCAGAGCAGACTGGGCCGCACCCCAATCTCTCCTGCTAAGTCATCCATGTAGGTAACAAAGTCCACGTGCAGGGGTGTCAACCTTGACACAATGTAGCTGTGGAGAGGATGGATCGGAAATGAATATAGGAATTTGTTGCACTCAAACCTTTGTTTACTATTTATTAACAAATCTAATTACAAATTATTTATCACTTGTATATAGACTCTGGCAATACTTCTATTCTATTTTATTGTATTTACTTGCACTATTTGATCTGTGTTCTTGTGTTGCACTGTTGGAGCCTGTGACCTAAGATTTTAATCGACATAACCAGGGGCGGCCATTGGGAATACCGGGAGTTTTCCCCGGTGGGCCGGTACCGAAGTGGGCCGGTCGGACAATTCACTAGCACCCCCCCCACCGTTGACAATTGACTAGTGGTACCGAGTTGGGCCGGTCCGCCGGTCGAGTTTCCCGGGCTGATTTTTTGTCCCAGTCCACCCCTGGACATAACTACACTGTAGTTTTATTATAGCATTCATGTACGAATGACAATAAAAACCTTGAAACTTGAATCTAATTTGAAGAACCTTAAGATATTATCAAATTAATTGACAATGTTGTCTGCAATAAATAACCTAGCAGAGGAATATTAGTTTTACTTTTTCTCGATGTCCTTGGTGTCCTTGTCAACAGACTTTATCATGGCCTGGTTTGAGGGCAGCTTGACCTGTCCTGAAATGCAAAAGACAGAAGACAGACAAAGGTATATGGTCCGTTTGAAAAGTATTTAGAAAAGTGGCAGATGATAAACTGGTAAAGCCTCACCATTGAAAACTCGTGAGACCCAGCGGGCCTGCATTTCAGCCTGTGTCATGATCGCTGCAAAGGCATGGATGAAACCCACCACAGCCAGAGTGGGATGCTCCAGGTTTGGAGGAAAAACGTGTTTGTACAGTCCCAGACGATGCCCAGACATGTACTTAGAACTACTTGGCAAGTATGGAAAATCATAGTTGTAACCTGTTGCAAACACGATCGTATCCACCTATAAAGAGGAAGAGAAAAGTAAGAGATAGCCTTGAATTTTGCTTGAAATAAAGATAGAATATATCATTGGAAACTAAGTTCCTTTACATTTTCCACAGTGCTGCCATCCTCAAACACCACGGACGAGCCACAGATCTCCTTCACATTTGGTTTGATGATAACAGACCCAGACAGAATCTTTAGAGGCAAATCATCGTTGATCACCGGGATCTGATTGAAGAATCTTAGGAGGCAGCAGGAAAACAAGGGAAATAAACTACTTACATCTTTTACTTCAGCAAAAGTAATAAAATATAATGTATAAATACTCTTCTAAAACTAATAGTCACACATTCAACATTTTACTTAATTAACTTTTCAAAAGTATTGGCATCAAAATACACTTCTATAACAACAAGTTAAACTCACTCTGCTCTTTTTCAGAGAAAAACACATTATATAATTGTATTATATCTAATGATGTTTTAATGTGACTTTAAAGCTGCTTCTGGTAAAGGTGGAGCTCCTTTTTTAGCTTGTGAATATAAGTGTCACGATCTGTCTGTTGTGTTTTGTCTTGTCTAGATCTGTCTTTGGTTTCCTGTCTGTGGCCCTTTCTCACTTCTCTTATTTTTCATTTCCTCGCTCCTCTGTCTCACCGGAAGTTGATTTGTCTGCGCCATCTTGAGTAGCGTCCCAATGGCCTTATTTTTGCCGGAGGACCGAGGAGTGAGGAGCGATAATGGAGGAGCTATAATCGAGGAACTGAAGTTACCTACTGTAACTCCAGCTTCTATGAGTATTGGTGTGGCCCTCTAGGCCAGTGATTCTCAAACCATTTTCAATAATGTACCCTCTTTGAAAAAAAAATTCAGCCAAGTACCCCCTGATCAGCACAAAAACAATTTGTCTATATAAAGAGGTACCATCTGTGTCTGATTTATTAAAACAGCAACATTGTAACTGAGAAACACTTAAATGCTACATTTCAAATGTTTACAATCCATCACTAAATTCATGGCAAACCAATTTTAACATCATGCAATAACACTAAGACGACATTAGTTGCATTGAACTGATCTTTTTAATAAGTTGTACTTATAATTTAGTGAGAAACATGGGCTTGTGCTTCACTGGGGAGCTTTGTCATTCTGACAGGGAGGCTGTAGAGGAAACTTCTGTGTGCAGTGGGAGTCACCGACTCAGGAAGGAGACACGGTAGGAGACACGGTAGGAGCAGTAGCTTTGATGTCAAACACTGATGGTTTATTTGGAGTTACGGCCGGAGGATTCACATCACAAGTCCAAGAGCCAGAGGTTCTGACTTCACGGTAGAGTTGCCACGTCAATTCTGGAGAGCCTCTCCCATTTAACTGGTTCCACAGAGAGTCATCAACATGTTTTGATAAGATAGCTTTAGATAGTTTGGGCACACTAAGTTACCAGTTTCCGCCACTTATGGCCTTGGATATGTCATGCCCTGGAGTCCTCAGACAACAGAGAAGGAAGTGTCCCAGTGTACCCACAATACAGACCATCTGTGACCCAGTATTGACCGGTCACAGAATGGGAACAATAACATTATTGGCTGAAGCAGCCTGTGTCCTAAAAGGAGGTAAACAGACGTCAAGGTTTGTCCTGTATGTCACATCTTGGCGTCTATGATAATTATTTCCCTAACAGAGGCAACTACAGTTATTACACTTCGCGTTTTGAAATATGTGTAACTCTGTTAATATAAAACCCACACTGCTCAAACTTCGTTACTTTTTCTAAAATTGTTATTTATTTATTTTTTCATTAACATAAAAATAAATCTCACGTCTCCCCTGCAGTACTCCAACGTACCCCTAGGGGTCCGCGTACCCCCATTTGAGAACCACTGCTCTAAAGTACCGCAGTCTCTTCTCCTAAGTCCTTTTGAATTCTCCTATCCACTATCCCTTAACCCCGTGACGTTTCACTCAGAGGTCAAGGAATAGGAGATAGGGTTAGAATTTAGGAGCTGATTTTTGGATTATCGGAACGCAACCCTTGTGTGTTCCCTCCTACCTGTTTTCCTGATTGTGTTCACCTGGTGCCCCCGTGTTTTCTCCTCCCTCCTCACCTGTCTCTTGTTTCCTTGATTAGTCCTATGTGTATTTAACTTCGGTTTTTTCTGTCTGTCATTGTTGGTTCGTCGTTTGTCTGTGACTGTGTTCACCGGGGAGTGTTCTGTTTGTCTGTGTATCCTTGAAATAAAGGTATTTTCAGTGTTATCTGCATTTGGGTCCTGTTTGCTTCGCTCACCCGTAACAATAAGGGATGCATAAAGTTTATCTTAGCCTATCATAGTACATAATACACTTTTTGTTAATCACATTTTTTATAAACAATCCGAATCTTCAAACAACTACAGTTATCAGATATATGAAGTGCAATATTTGACTTGTTATGAATTATTAAGGAGCAGTATGTGGAAATATTCAATCAGAGTAGCTTTACCTCAAAATTGTTCCAAGTGAAAGTGCAGTACTTGGGTGAATGGGCATATTTACTGCCCATCATTGTATAAAGGGAATAACTAACCAGCTTTCTTCACTATGTAAGATGAAATGCTTTAATGTGACTTTATTTCCTGCTCAGAATGTGAGGAAGTGGTCTAATATGCACAGTTATAATTGTTGTCACCCTGGCTGCACCTACCTGTGTTTGGGTTTGAGGGCATACATGGTGTGGTCATACATGGCGTTGAGTTTTGTCTCACACAGCCAGTTAAGGATTCTGATAGGCAGCAGCTGGGAGAGGATGTGGACAAAGCGTGTGAGGTACTTTATGTCCACTGGCAGGCCATTGTCAGAAACCTGACGGATGACCCAGGCTCCACTACGAGTGCTCAGATACACCTGCACCACAAAGGCAAAAGTCAGACACACAAATGATCATGAAGAAGGAGGAAAATAGCATACAGAAAATACTTCCCCACCTGCTCTGCCACTCTGCTGCTCTCCACAGCGATGTCACTTCCTGAGTTACCGATGCCGATGACCACCACTTTTTTCCCAACCATGTCTTCAGGCCCCTTGTAGTCCCAGCTGTGGAAGTATTTTCCTTCAAATGTCTCAATTCCTGAAACACAGCAGAGTGATGTCATTATTACTGTGTTTCTCATGTTATAAAATACAACACAGCTTTATTTGTAAAGCACTTTAAAATCTCCTGACCAAAGTGGTGTACAGAGAAATAAATCAAATACAAAAAGTCCCACAGCTCAGCTCACAAACAATAAAATAGGTTTAAAAGAAAAAGTGTCCAACGCTAAGGAAAAGAGGTGGGTTTTAAAAGGCGATATAAAAACAGGCAGTTTAATGGCTTATCTCATTTTCAGGGGCAGATTCAGGGGCGGCGGGTACTGTAGGCTAGGGAAGGCTAAGCCTTCCCAAATATTTGTGTCACTGCATCCTGGTAAAATAAAAATATAATGTATATCTTCTTTAAATTAATCCCTAAGAGCAAATGTTCTTTATTTACAACTATTATAACTCTTTATTGTATCTCTTTCCATCCAGAGATACAAATTGCGGGTATAAACAACCAGCACTGATCAGCAGTGAGGTCACAGTACTGTACGGCAACTATAAAGCCCCAATTATGGAGTAAACCATTAAGGAAATACCAGCTTGCTCATTTTTCTGTATTCTGTGTTCAAGTTCTTAAAGTAAGCAGCCAATAACCCACTCATTATTTTGCAGTTACTGTTGCTATATTTATGTCGATAATTTCTCAAATCATGCAAACCACGTAAAATGGGAAAATAAGTATCTTTAAGAGGCCCAGACATAAAACTATATAAAGGCACTTTGAAGCATTTGGATGACTTTCAGCTCAGTATAACTGCAGCATAGTAATGTCTGCAAAGTGAGACAAGCTACACTTGTATTTCTGGCCTCTTATGTCTAGTATAATGTATCTTCTGTATATTCATCGTGTCCCTCTCATAAAATATTACATTTAAAGCAAATGTAGCCTTTTTCAACAAAGTGCTCTCAGTATTGTGCACTACTCAAAGATTTCTTTTTAAGTGGTTAAACTAAGCTTCAACTCAACTAACATTCAAATACAGCTTACAAATGAATGTGTTTTTATTATGTTCCTATTATTCAATGTTATAATTCCCTGAATGGGGCCATTCTGAAAATGAGCACTTAAAAACTTAAACGTTGGATACTTTAAAGACGTCTCGATCATGGTCTCGATCAACATAGTGTCAGATTTAATAAAAAGAAAATCCTTTTATTCCTTTACCGAGCATCTTGTCCAAATTAGTGTTGTTACGAGTCATTGTGAGTGATTTAGAGAGATTATTATGAACATGAAGCTGAACATTAGCACCTCTTTCTACAATAATTCTAATTATGCTATCTCTCATCTTGTCACACTAGTTTTTTTTGCCTTATAAAATTGTATTATGACTTTAGCATGTCAGTCATTTTCATTGTTATAGCCAAAAGTGAATTTTAGTATTAACAGGGTAGATGAGACGGACAGCTGTGGTGTTAATCCAGATGTATCAGAGGAACGCAGTTCCAGTTGCTAACAGAAATTAAATAAAGTGGAACAGCCCAAAAAAAAATATTGGCATATGTGTCTTTACTTTGAAATTCATTTAGACGCAACAAAGCGTTGGATTGATTCATTTTTTGATCTGAGAATATGTTGTACTCCGGGTGAGAAGATGGACAGATTGCACTTAAATCCAAATGACATGACAATCTTTTCTTCATTTAAGTAAAATATGAAATGCAGGGCTTTTACTTATAATGTATTACTTACAATATAGTATAGTTACTTGTAGTTAAGTACAGTATCTGAATACTTTTCCATCTTGGCCCACGTCCTACTATACTAGATTTCAGTATATCAAATGGTTATTTATATGATATATTGGTACTGTACCACTTTACAATAAGACTTCCCTTATAAAGGATTTACGAATAGTTTGTAATTAATTAATTAGGTTGTGAACACTTTATGAATCATTAATAAGCTTTTATAAGACATGAGATAAACAGGGCACCTGTGACCGGTTGCTTGCCAAATAGTGAGCCCACATTTATCTGTACTGCTAAGTCTTATATTGGCTAGCTTACTTCGTCTTCTTCATCAGCCAGCATCCTTGGTATCTGTTGTTCACCGAGTTGATTCTCGCTAAGTAGCCAATATAAGGCTTAGTCATCTTGCCAAATAGTGAGCCTGTGTTGATGCATGAAAACTATGTTAGAACTGGTTTATACATGGTTCTTAATGATTAATAAAGTGTTTACAACCTAATTCATAACCTAATTATAAACCCTTTATGAGTCCTTTTATAAGGGTAGTCTTATTGTAAAGTGGTACCGATATATTATATGAGCTTCTTAATTTGATCTACCTTCATGAGAGAGTCAAGGCCATCGCCATGCCAGCTTTAAACTGAACAACAGCAAACTATTTGGTGCATTCAGCCCAGGGACGTGCACAGATACGGGCTAATGTTGCCCGGGCAACGGCCCGTTTGGCCTTTTTGGCTGACCTGCCACTCTGGAGAGAGCGAGAGTTTGTTTTTCTTTTTTCTGTTGTGACCGAATCAACATGATAAGCCCACAATTAGTATTGTAGCGTCTCGCTGCGGGAACTTTGTCAGCGCTGTCATCTGCCGGTGCGTTAAGACCACCTCAGTGTCGGATTATGGCAACTTGATTTTGAGTTGTCTTATGGCAGTTAGGGCATACGGGACAAACCAGGGGACTTTACTTCCTCTTGATACCGACGGTTATTTACAAAAAAACACCTAGGCCTAAATGTAGCCTACTTGTTGTTGTGCTTCTGTCTTTCTGTGTCTTTTCATCTGTAAACTCCCTCAACGGGGCCGCTCGCTCTCTTTTCTTGATCTCACGGGTGAACAGTTCAATGTCCCTCTTCATTGTAGGATTTCTGCCATGTCTATACCACTTTAGTTTGACCATCTCTGTTATTAAGTGATAGGAATACTAAATAAATAAGTCATTAGATACCTTACCGTTACTGTGCTCATAAAGAATGATAAGAATAAGAATAATGCGTATTGAACTGGTTTCATTAATTAGTGAGTTTATTTAAGTTAGAGACCCTATTGTATCAGTATGTCTGGACTGCACATCAGTTACAATGGTCTGGTCAAAATACATTCGAACAGAATTGTCCCTATTTTGTCTTTAATAGTTACTAACATTAGATATTTTAATGAGATATGGACCGCAAAACAAAGAATTTCCCTGGTTTTCATTTTTAAAATCAAGTCACCGAATGCAAGTAGTCGCCTTAGCTTATTTTGTTATGAGATGTGAATTACTGTTCAATTTAGTTGATGTAAGTTTGTGTCTTTGACATTAGCGCTGCTATGCAGACACCTGTGCCCTGTGCACTACGAAGCCAGTTCAACAGACCCTGGATATGTTTGAGTTATCTTCACTAACCCTAACAAACGAGATCTCGCTAAGCGGTCCTAAAACGCTGGTTATCAACTCGGTAAATCAAGCCAGGGTTTCTCTCTCCAGCTGAGAGCGCGTTCACGTCAAAGGGGCGAGGTTAGCTACATTTGATTTGACCAATCACAAACAGCGACAAGTGTACTGACAGCGCAGCGTCATACTTCATTAATGAAAAGTAAACTAATATTAGACAAATATGAACTTTAAACATCCATGATTTACACATATAATCCAGGATACAAGCCACATAGTTGCACCTGCAAGGGGAATATAGAACAACTGGTTAAAAAATAACTACCGAGTGTTTGAAAGCGTACAACAGTTATGATATCAGTGCCCCATCTAAGACACGAGTGGATCTGACTTTAATTACATTTGACTCGAGTGTTTCGTCAACTTAATGTGTTGCTTAAAATAATACTTCTGCATACAGTATGTGACACTGTGAGTGTTGCACGGCCAGATACGGCTGGAGAAGCTGACTCAGATAATATATATGATATATTATGATTATTATCTGTCTCATCAACGTTGCGTGGAAGTCGGAAACAGTACCGAAGGAGTGGCAGACCGAGGTGGTGGTTCCCCTTTTCAAAAAGGGGGATCAGAGTGTGTGTTCCAATTACAGAGGCATCACACTACTCAGCCTCCCCGGGACAGTTTACTCTAAGGTACTCGAAAGGAGGGTCAGGCTGATTGTCGAACCTCAGATTGAGGAGGAACAATGCGGATTCCGTCCTGGTCGTGGAACGATGGATCAGCTTTTTACTCTCGCAAGGATCCTGGAGGGGGCCTGGGAGTACGCTTATCCGGTCTACATGTGTTTTGTAGACTTGGAGAAGGCGTATGACCGAGTTCCCAGGGAGTTACTGTGGGAGGTGCTGCGGGAGTATGGGGTGAGGGGGTCTCTACTCAGGGCCATCCGATCTCTGTACTCCCAAAGCGAGAGCTGTGTCCGGGTCCTCGGCAGTAAGTCGGACCCATTTCCGGTGAGGGTTGGCCTCCGCCAGGGCTGCGCTTTGTCACCAATCCTGTTTGTAATATACATGGATCGGATTTCGAGGCGTAGTCGTGGGGGAGGGGGTCTGCAGTTCGGTGGACTAAGGATTGCACCACTGCTTTTTGCAGATGATGTGGTTCTAATGGCTTCATCGGTCTGCGACCTTCAGCATTCACTGAATCGGGTCGCAACCGAGTGTGAAGCGGCTGGGATGAGGATCAGCACCTCCAAATCTGAGGCCATGGTTCTCAGCAGGAAACCGATGGACTGTCCACTCGAAGTAGGGAATGAGTCCTTACCCAAAGTGAAGGAGTTCAAGTATCTCGGGGTCTTGTTCTCGAGTGAGGGAACAATGGAGCGTGAGATGGGCCGGAGAATCGGAGCAGCGGGAGCGGTACTGCAGTCGCTTTACCGCACCGTTGTGACGAAAAGGGAGCTGAGCCAGAAGGCAAAGCTCTCTGTCTACCGGGCCATTTTCGTTCCTACCATCACCTATGGTCATGATGGATGGGTCATGACCGAAAGAACGAGATCGCGGATACAAGCGGTCGAGATGGGTTTTCTCCGCAGGGTGGCTGGTGTCTCCCTTAGGGATAAGGTGAGAAGTTCGGTCATCCGGGAGGGACTCGGAGTTGAACCGCTCCTCCTTCGCGTCGAAGGAGCCAGTTGAGGTGGTTCGGGCACCTAGTTAGGATGCCACCTGGGCGCCTCCCTAGGGAGGTGTTCCAGGCACGTCCAGCTGTGAAGAGACCAAGGGGTAGACCTAGGACCAGGCGGAGAGATTATATCTCTTCGCTGGCCTGGGAGCGCCTTGGGATCCCCCAGTCAGAGCTGGTTGATGTGGCCAGGGAAAGGAAAGTTTGGGGCTCTCTGCTGGAACTGCTACCCCGCGACCCGACCACGGATAAGCGGGAGAAGATGGATGGATGGATGGATGATATTATATGATCGATGATCTGATTGATGATGTGATATGAATGATAAGTGCGACACGTCTGCGCCTTCTCTGCATACGGCAGTTTAAACCGTATTTCCTTTATCCTGTAATATGACTTGATAGATTTAAACTCTGCACACTGAGCTCTGATTGGTCAGCAGGTATAGCTTTTCTATAGAGCAGAGGCGGACAGCGTCAGGTAAAAAAAGTGATTTAGCCTTCCCAAACCTGAGCCTCACGCGCCGCCTATGGGCAGATTATTTAACAATGTTGGGGGCGCAGCGAAAGCACGGCCCCCTCTCAGCTTTCACTTTGTTCTGAGAAACATTCAGGAGCAGTTGATCAGCTGACCTGAGGAGGCAAGGATGTAGCAATTTAGAAAGGTACACTGTAAGAAACGTACCGTGAAATTCACAGTATGTAACTTGCACCAATTGACAAGTACTGTAAAATGAATTACAGTAAGTAACTTGTCAATTGCTGCTAGTTAAATACTGTAAAATGTATAACAGTAAGTAACTTGTCAATTGCTGCCAGTTAAATACTGTAAAATGTATAACAGTAAGTAACTTGTCAATTGCTCCCAGTTAGTAAAACACTTTTTTACAGTGACTGTGTACAACTAGAGAATGCAATTCCTGAAGAAATTGCTAGTGGGAATGCTTTATGCTGAAAAGCTGATGCTGAATTGCTATGCTGAAATGTAATGTGTAAGATGAAAGTGAAGAATTTAGATTTAAATGATACATCAACACTGGGGGCTTGAATGTGTGATGAGAGAAGAAAATAAAGTAAAAAGGCTTGGAAAAGCAGCAGAATATTTGAACTGCAAACTTTTTAACTAACTTGATTGCGAATGATCTGTCGCCATGCCAACGGCATTTGATGACATCCCATTATACGCTTAGATGCGTTGATGGCTGCATCGTTACCAAACCTGTGACGTTTTGGGCTGTTTGGAGCATTTTCCCTGAAGTTATGAGAAAACCGTGTTTCCTGGCGAGCATTGTGTTGCCATGGCAACGGCATTTGAAGAAATCTCAAAACTGTTCCGTAGATGTCTTCACGGCTGGACTGTTAGCACACATGTGAAGTTTGAACACTTTTTGAACATTTTCATAGGAGTTAATGTATAGCGACATCGTCTTTTATGGCGAGGGATAGTTTCCATGGAAACGGCATATGACACCCTATAATTGACGTAGAGCTGTTGAGGGCAGGACCATTAACCATTATCTGAAGTCTGCTGCTCTGAGCATGTCAGTTGGAGTTATGACATCATCGTGTTCCATGACACAGGTGTTTATATTTGAACTAACGAGGTGTCCAGAGATCAAAGGTTTCCATTGTTCTGAATGAGAGATAAACCTCTTACATGTGAACGTTTTGTTGAAGAACCGTAACAGATATCGGTGAAATTTCAAAGCGTGAAGCATCTCAAGGACCTTGAGTATCTGAAGTGTGCTTTTTGTATACTTTCGGGTCAATAATGTGGCTTTTTTGGCAGATTAACTAAAGGTGTGTGGCTGCTGCTGTGAGGAAATATCAGCCTGAAATTACAATGGGGTTTAATGGAGGCATGTTGAAAGTATTTGTCACTTCATGCCCTCAAGAGGCATTTTGTTTAATTATTTTGCTTAATTATTTGTCATTTTTCAAGCTATGAGATGTTTTCCTATACGTTTGTCATGAAAAAATATGTCTCAGGAATGTAGGGTTTGGGAATTATGGCAGTTTTAAAAAGAAATATGAAGGCAAATTTCAAGATTTCATATCACGCACTCTAGTTAATGTTAAAATCTGAAGAAGGCCTCTGTACCAATGTCTGAACAATGTTTAATATCTCTAAAAGTAAGAATCAGATTTAAAAGTTGTGTTACACAAATAATGTCAGAAAGATGTGTAACATTTTAAAGTTGGAATGAGGTTTCTGAGTGAAAGTATGAAGGAACAGTTAGCAGTTGAAGTCGCATGAAGTTTGTTCAAGTCTGAAGATTTTCTCCATTGACTTCAATGGTTAAAAATGTGATGAATTATGGGATGTATCTCTGGAATTATGAAAGTTATGAATGAAAAAAGTAATAGCACTCGATTCCCGACCGAGCTGAACGTTTTGATGTTTGAACGGAGTTTCTGCAATGTTCAAAAGAAGACCGGCAAAATAACGTGCGGAATAAAATTAAAGAATTTCGTGGGTAGAAGAACAGATAGTTGGAATGCTGTTAACAGCAAATTGAGGCCCAATCCAAAACCACGCCCTACACCCTACCCCTACACACTCCCCCTCCGTGACGGAGTGAACTCCGTGGAGTGACACATGAGGCTCCCTCCTGTCAGATGGAGGGAGTAAATACAGCAGCAAGCTTTGGGACAAACTCCCCTCTATCCGTCAGAAACAGGAAATGCCGTAACTGTATGTAACATCAGTTTCAAATCAGCATCTCTTTGACAAAAAATGTAAATTAATAACTAGGCAAGCTTTTTGAGACCTCTCCCAACTGCAATCGGCTATTCTCGTCTACTTTCGAGGCGAGCCGCAGCTCATCCCAAACAAGCCTATTTTTTCTGTTGACCGTTTTTGTCCCTATAGTTTGTCCTATATAATATTGTCAGACTATATTACTTTGGTGTGGACTTTCTCTTTGAAAACGCGTCACAGCCTATAGCCAAGCTTAGCCTCTTGGCGACTCAAACTGGAATGGGAATTGAGCCGCCACAATAATAATAAAAATGATGATTATTACCTTACTTTTGTCTATTTTTATTCCTCAGTGTTGCGTTTTTAAGGTGCAATACCAAGACACATTCTTTGTATAAATCAGCACCACAGTTGTAGTTCTTCCGGTTTGCAAAGACATAGGGTCTTAAAAATATATATCTATTAAGTATATAAAATATCTAGTATAGCCAAACTAGTAATTACACTGCATCAATATTATGTATATTAAGAAAAGGATGTTGGTTTATTTAAGATATTTTAGCTATTCTAGAAATGGGGTTTTTTGGTTGGTTCTTTCTTTTTTGGTTACTTTGATCTTCTACAGTACATTGTTGGTTACTGTGATCTTCTACAGTATTGTTGGTTACTGTGCTTATCTACAGTACATTGTTGGTTACTGTGCTTATCTACAGTACATTGTTGGTTACTATGATCTTCTACAGTACATTGTTGGTTACTGTGAATATCTACAGTACGTTGTTGGTTACTGTGATCTTCTACAGTACATTGTTGGTTACTGTGATTATCTACAGTACATTGTTGGTTACTGTGATCTTCTACAGTACATTGTTGGTTACTGTGATCTTCTACAGTACATTGTTGGTTACTGTGATTTTCTACAGTTGGGACGTTACTACTGATATTTTTAAAGTAACTCCAGAGGTACTGTAGTTTTTGGTTGGAAAGCATGGTATTATAAGCTAAAATAGTATACAGTAATTTACTGTGCACAAACACTGTAAATAACTGTGAATTTGTTTACAGTTTAGGGCAGGGCGAGGCCATTGAGGCATTTAAAAGTGGAATGTTTCAACACATATTGATATCTTGTGCCAACAGCTTTAAGTGAAAAACAAAATGATCCACTAAGCCTGGTCTGAGGTGCATTAAAAAAAAATGACTTTACCTGGGAACTCTTTCAAAGGCAGGTTAGGGTAGGAGTAGTGACCCGAACAGCAGATAACTGCATCAAAGACATGCCTCTCCTCCTTCCCATCTTTGTTTTCTGTCACCACTTCCCACTGACCAGTGCGAGAAAAGTCTGGTGTTTGATTGACATTCTTCACCAGGGTCTAAAAAATAAATAAACACAGTAGATTTGTTTGAAGTTATAGTTTTAAATTGCACCGGAAATATTTAACCACATACTAAATTGGATCTTGTTACCTGGAAACGGATGTGTTTCAGCAGTTTAAAGTGTTCTGCATACATCCTAAAGTAATTCTGGATTTTTGAGTGGTGCATGTAGTTGGGGTAATCAGCTTGGACGGGGAAGTCGCTGAAGCTCATCATCTCCTTCGAGATGTTGATGGTGAGGGAACGGTAGATGCTGGCCCTGTTTGGCTCTGACACTTCCTGCAGAGAAGAGGTTTTTAATGACAGGAAACGGGAGGAAACCAAAACGCTGGTAAGATTGTGGATAAACTTTACTTAACTTAAGTGCTGACTTGCCTTGAACCTCCAAAGTCCACCAATGTCATCGCTGCTTTCAAAACAGGTCGGCATCATGCCCTCCTCCAGACAGGCCTTCATGCTGGTCAGACCACAGGGGCCTGCCCCGATCACTGCTACTCTGTGGACCATGATGCAGCTGCACAAAGGAGAGCAAAAAGACACATATATATTTCAATTCAGAACCTCTTCTACACCGTACCCCCAATACCGGGGGAAAAAAACGCATCATCTGCAGGAAACAGCGTCTGAGGGCATCTTCATATTCAATAAACTATGAATGTTTTATATCCATGTCACGGGAAGAAACTCAGCTAACTGACCTTTTTTTTTTTTTAAACCCACAAAGCTAGCACTAAGCCTATGAATTAGCCACGAGCGAAAAATGCTAACGGCGTGTTGCACAGAAACTCACTCATAACACCCTTATTACTTATCGTAGCTGCACGTTCAACCCAACGATCTGATCGTGAGATGACACAGAATCGATCGGTACATACATCATCACTCCATGATAAGAACTCGCAAAGCTATTAACAAGAACAGACATCAAAACACGCTAGGTAGCTAAAAATGGCAACATGGCTTCACCTTGGTCGTTGTCTGGTCAAAAGTGGTCTTCAATGGCATTAAACGATAAAAACGCTGCTGAAGTTAATCCTTAGGTTAATCCAATGTGTCCTGTGTCCCTTTGAAATTATTTCCGATAATCCATAAGCATTAAACCTGCTTTTTTCCGTTTCCAGATGTCAGAGCGAGAGATAGGTTCACTCTGATGCAAACCTGCATGCGCAAAGCCCCCACCTTCTTTTTTTTTACCATGTATGTGTATGGGGAAATTCCCCTTCGATTCTATTGGCTCTAACGGTCAAAAAGAGATGTCAATCACCAAAATCGACCAATGGGTTCCAGAGAAACGGTAAAAACGCCCATTTCCACCCAAATCACCTCAGAGGTGGAGTTTATTTTGCTAAACCTCTCTAAAAAGGTCAAATGTCACTTGTTTTGCATCATTCTTGATACAGGGTACTTATATGTTGCACTTTGGATTCCTAAAGCTTTTAGTCTACCTTACCATCATCCGAGGGTAGTTTTCACCAGTGGTGTAGTGGGCGTTGGACGCGGGGGTACGCCGTACCCCCACTTATTTGGAGCATGATCTTTTTTTCAATAGTCTAATAAATATAAAATCATTGCCAGTGTTATCAGTTGCAAGTGTGTATTTGTTGTAATAATATGGGCTCAGAACAGTCTCATAATACACACATGCACACAGAAGGATTCATACTTGTATTTCATGATCCGCAAAAGGATTCACACTTGTATTTTCCGGATCCACACTTGTGTTTTTCAATGCACACACAAATATGTTCCGTTTCATATACATGTAAATAAAATCCAAACACAGAAAAAAGTTTTACATATGTATTTTTGATCCACACATATTTGTTTTCCGTTTAAAACCTCTGAACCTGCAAACCGCTTTCTGTGCACGGATCGCTGTGCATTCGTGTGTGGGTTTTTGAGACTCCCCTGACGGTCAGCCGATTCGTACTTGTAATTTCTCTCATCTATAGCCAGGGGCGGCGCCAGGGGGTAGCTTGGAGTTGCTATAGCAACTCCAACAATTGGCCTAGCAACGGCTTAGCAACCCCATTGGTTTGTTTTGAAAATGTATCTCGCGAGATCTATCAGGAGTCGTTGTTCGCTCCCATCGCTCTAAACGCTCGAGTTTCACCAATGGTTTCACCACGGCTGCCAGCTGTGTTTACAGTCTATGGTTTACTCGCATCATTCAAACAAGACGCGCTGGCTCGGGAGCTACAACTACAACAAAATGAACATATTTTACCGTGATTAAATTGTAATACACGTTTCTAAATGATGCCGAAGTAACAACATACTGATACCGGTTAGTAAAAACCATGAATTAATGCTTGACAAGTCTGCAGACAGACGGCAGGCAAAAACCCTTTTAAAATGCTTGTTTTCTGAATGAAGATCGGGTCGACCAGGCTAAGCTAACGTTGTATATGCTCACGCCACACTCACAACAACGGCCTACAGACATAAACAAACCAGCGACTGTATTCGCCATTACACAGACAGTCTGTGGTTTGTACTTTTTTAACTTTTGTCCAGTTTCTGAACAGATATGAGGAGCTGTGAGCTCTGTGTGCTAAGAGCTAACGGCTGATGTTTTCTGGCTGAACGTCAGTGGCAGGCTGAGATCCTCACCACTGCTGTGTGTGTGTGTGGTGTGTGGTGTGTGTGTGTGTGTGTGTGTGTGTGTGTGTGTGTGTGTGTGTGTGTGTGTGTGTGTGTGTGTGTGTGTGTGTGTGATGATGAAGTTAAATGCCACAGCATGCCAGTTGAAACAGTGAACGATCGCTATTGCAGAAACAGTGTTCAAATTCTGCTTTTACAAACTTATTTTGGTTGTGCTTACCTTGCAAAATAATGTTATAAGTGTCAAATGAATGTTTTTAATGTAATACTAAGGATAATATTGTAGCGTGTCCAAGTATAGTTATTTCAGTTATCAGATGTGCACAGTTTTAGTACATTTGTAAAGTTATTTAAGCAATGTTGTTGGTGGGAGTTAGGGAGAGACCACCCCTTCCAGGTGTGTGTGTGCGTTTTCCGGTGTGTGTGTGTGTAGGGAGTACGAGACGAGTTGTGTTCGAGTGTGGGGAAAAGTCATAATGAATGTTATAGCCTACTATTGATTGGTTCTGTAAGGCGTGGCTGTGGCAGTCAATACCAGAAAATAAAGAGAACGTTTTCGACATTGAAAGCTCGAGTGATGCTATGATCTTGAATAGCGGTGAACGCTACAATATGAACAGGCTTGTGCTTGGCCCACTGGTATTGTTTGTTTATTTATTTTGAAAATTAACTAGCAACGCCGTGCTGTCATATAGCAACTGCAAAGCTACTGCAGCAAAAAAATCCTGGCGCCGCCCATGTCTATAGCCAATCAGATGTCTCCTCCAGTCTAAGCCAATCACATGAGCGCGCCCCCACGAGGGTAGGATTTCTTGCGTTCATGACACTTCATATAGGCTACGCATTTTGCGCAGTCTGGTCAGCTCGCTAAACAGAGGGCGGAGCTTCAGGTGATTATGTAGAGCTGCGTGTCTCCGTCAGACTCAGCAGCTGATCTGATCTCTCTCTCTCGCGTCCGGTTATACTTCACTCGCGTTTATGTCTATATCGATCAGATCCAGCTCTCCTGATCGGCCTTTATAGAGAGCACCGATCAAACTATTTAGAGTGAATATCGGCCGATAATGACCGGCGGGGCTCCCCCCCCCCCCCCCCGTTGACAGTTCACTGTCTAGCACTGGCTTAGTGCACTGATCGATTAGGCTAAGCTAACCTGTAGCTGCTCCCTCCACACTCACAACAACTTCATACAGACATAAATAAAGCAGCTGTATTCGCCATACAACACACATTTAAAACGGTTTTGCCTGCCGTTTTTGTGTACACACAAGCATTCATCAATGTTTCGGAAAGTGGCGATGTACCTTAATAATATAAAGGCTTGTATTTGCGTTCATTTCCTGTTCGGAAAGTGGCAATGTACTGAGAGTGGAGGTGTCCTGAGATTAGCGCCTGCAGGCAGGCTCCATGGACCTGTCAGCTCCGGACTGCGCAAAATGCGTACATGAAGCGCTACGTCATGAACGCAAGAAATCTACCCTAGTGGGGGCGCGCTCATGTGATTGGCTTAGAATTGAGGAGACATCTGATTGGCTATAGATTAGAAAAAATTACAAGTACGAATCGGCTGACCGTCAGGGGAGTCTCAAAAAACCCACACACGAATGCACAGCGATCCGTGCACAGAAAGCGGTTTGTGTTTGCAGGTTCAGAGGTTTTAAACGGAAAACAAATATGTGTGGATCAAAAATACACATTTAAAACTTTTTTCTGTATATGGATTGTATTTACATGTATATGAAACGGAACACATTTGTGTGTGCATTGAAAAACACAAGTGTGGATCCGGAAATACAAGTGTGAATCCTTCTGTGTGCATGTGTGTATTATGAGACTGTTCCAGGCCCAGTTCCAGAACAAAATGACTCAGGGTGCATCTGAGATTAGAGAGGGTGCAGTGGTAAAGTGCTATTTTTATAAGTGGGGAGTGGACCTAACACCCTCTAGGGGGGTCCTCACCTCCTCTAGAGGGGTCCGGGGGCATGCTCCCCCGGGAAGATGTTTTTTTAAATATTGAAGTTAAAAGCATCAATCTGGTGCACTTTGAGAGCAACATTAAGAGATCTATGTGCTCTTTGCTTGATTCGTGCCTTCCCAGTCCCTTATCACGTAGCCTATAAGAGCATGGCGTCAGTTGTTGTAGCCAGTTGTGGTGAAGGCATCTGACTTACTTGAACCGAAATGTCTACATGCATAGCAGAAGATGGCATATTTTTTACATGAATATTCCAGCCAATCTCTGTTTTGAAACCATGAGCTGCAAATGAGCGCCTTACCCCACTGTACAGGCGAGTTGGGAACTTGTTTAAATATACCTGGACAGGCTCTGTTTTGCCGAGGTCCTCTGGCACTTGCGGGCTGCTGAGGGATGGCGGTGTTTGGGGCAAGGAAGACGGCTGTGGCTGCTCCGCCTCCGTGGGCGAGGCGGGCAATGCCGGCGAGTCGCGTGTTAGTGTCCACGACAGTGGCCGCGGGTAACGTAATGTCCCCATGATCTGAACTGTTATTACCTGCAGTAGATGCAGTGTTACTGCTGGCGATAAGGGCTGGTTGTTTTAACCATTTTCTGATGTCCATCACTGACTGCTGTGTAAGCACCTTGCAGATGACGAACGCGCAGCGGCACACGTCACGCACACCTGACATAATAACGTTACTTACCGTTTAAATTGACCAAATAAATGCAGCAGACAATGTTATTTAACCACAATTACAATTTATTTCAACTAAATTCTTCTTCTTATTATTATTATTATTATTACTACTATTATTATTATATATGTCATATTTTTCACTTTTAATTTAATTTAATTTTTTTATTATTATTTTTTTTCACTTTTCATTTTTCAAATGAGGGTGCATAACGACTCAACTGAGGGTGCAATGCACCCTTATGCACCCCCGTAGAACCGGGCCTGGACTGTTCTGAGCCCATATAATAATGACGAAAAGACAATACATTTCACAGTAATTATAATAAAAAATAAAAACGATTTCCTTAAAAATTATGATTCGTCATCACGCTCGTGACCCCGCGGCGAGCTGGAGGTGTGTCAGTGACACGGCGAGGAGTGATCAATTAGCCTATAATTGTATGTATGCACCCCGGACCGCCACCAGCTCCTCTCCCAATGTGTAGGGAACTGTGGCGCATCGGGTGATGCACGCACCTCACGCTGCCCCGTCTTACCATGCACGTAGAAAACGGTCACAAACAACGAGTGCTTTTAGACCATCTCGTTTTTAATAGAGTGGTGTGAGTTAAAGCTATAGACAAAAAGCTGTGACTTTCTCCCTCTCAGCTGCACTTCTCCAGCCCCACAAACACGGGGAGGTTTTACACACACACCCGCGGCTGCAGCTGTGTTTACAGAGAGGCGATAGCAGTAATATCTCCGGCTGCTTATTTTCAACTGCTGTGTTGGCCGCTGAAACCCCCAATTCGGCGATTTGTCCAATACAAATCTTTACATTTCTTTCACACAGAAGCTCCACTCTACTGATGCCTTTCTTTAAGGTTTCTCTAAACATGAGCTGTGCATGCTTGTATGGCACTTTCGTCCCGAGCAGCATACACAGAGGAAATCAGCCCCCAGATAGCAAAATATGTTAAATCAACGTTGAATTATGGTCAAAAATGTTGATTTTTGGTTAAGGTTGAAGATTGATGGTGGATCAACCTTAAATGTTGAAAAGATGTCATTGAATCAACGTTGTATTGTGGTCGAATTTAATGATTGAAATGCCAACATTGAATCAATGTTGAATCTATGCTGTTTGCCTTTTCTTTTCTTTTTTTCTTGATGGGGGAGGGAAAAATTGACCACCCAAAAAACAGTTAGGAGCACGTTTCAGGCAATTTGGATTCGATTGGTAGTACTTTGTAGTGACACTATTTTGGGTCCCTAACATTCATTAATTGGATGACGCTGAGTCGAATGGTAGGTGACATCAATGGTCTACAACTTTTCAATAAGAAGTTACAGATTTTTGAAATAGTTGAAGATTTTGCTTTTTTTTTTAAAACTTTTTTTATTTGTATTAACACTTTTGCAAACTCAGAAAAGGACGTTGAATCGAATGGGCTAGGATATGTCGTACAGCTCATCAAGGCGCACGCGTGGATGCCCTCGGTGTCCCGGTCCGACATTCCTACGAGAAGTTTGTTTTTCAAAGTTTTCATTCAGTATGGCCTAAAGGTCTTACCCTCTGTGAGGCTCCCTGAAAGTGCAGGACTCTGAGTGGGAGTGTCGTGATTCTAAAAACCTATCGTTGTGGAGTTAGAACGATTTATTGTGTGTTATAGCTTGATTCTTGACACTAGCCAATTAAGGAGAACGGTAAGGCCGTGTGTGAGGAGAGTTATATGGGCGCGTTGACCCAAAATCTGGTGTCCAATTTTGTTTATACTCCTTTTAAACCGTTTTTCACTATTATCTCGGCCCCTAGGGGGCGCCAAAACAATCGGACAACGGATTATTGATCAACTCTTCACCCCGGACGCGCCAATATAACTTTCCTCACACAGGGACATACGGTTCTGAAAATTAGGGTTACAGGCTTTCTTGAATAACTTGGCCACTAGGGGGGCGCTGACACGATCGGACAACGGATTCTTGATGGGCTCTTCACCCCGAAAGCGCCCATATAACTTTCCTCACACACGTACATACGGTTCTGAAAATTAGGGTTACAGGGTTTCTTGAATAACTTGGCCACTAGGGGGGCGCTGACACTATCGGACAACGGATTCTTAATCAGCTCTGGACATTTTTAACAGAGTAGATGTAATTTCCAGTATTCTGGTGGATTTCGGGAGTTTGACACTTTTATCAGGCTTTACTTACATAGGATCCATTAAAAAGTTAAAAGTAGCAATAAAAGAGCCATATTTAATAATAACCACTAATTACTTAAAAATGACTATCTCTTTAAAATTGCATTGGACTGGAGTTTATCCAGACATAAAGCGACAGTAAAAGAGTAACATTCCCATTCTCTCAGAAAGAGAGTTTTTTTTGGGTTGTGTGTGCTAGAATCAAAGTGTGTGTGTGTGTGTGTGTGTGTGTGAGCATATATGTGTGCGTGCACGTGTGCATGCCCACTCTGGGTGAGAGCATTTTATGGGAGGGGGGTCTCACATTTTAAATTAAGCACCATATGTTGAGGACAATGGGTTGTGATTTTTTTTAAAATTATTATTATGTGTAAATCTTCTTAAGTTTGTGCGTAATGACAAACACATCTAAAAGTTACCTTTGGACAGAGACTACAAGGAGTGGAGCAGTCCAAATGTCCCATAATATCCTATTTTAACCTAGTGGTACACTGTAAAAAAAAAAAAAAAAATTCACAGAAATGTACTGTATTATTTTACAGACCTTTCTGGTTTTTCTATATTACGTGTAAATACCATAAAAATACAGTAAATTACTTTTATTTAAAATAAATAAAGGTTTTATTCTGTAAATTGGTTTGATGAGAAATTATCGGTCTTTTACAGGATAATTCCATTGTTTAATTGTCTTGAATGTTAAATTACATTGAATTCTATGTAAAAACACATAAAATACACATAATTTTACTACATGTAAAATGAAGGCAACTTTCTTTTTTTGTTGCAGTAAAACCTTAAAAATAACTGTATTCTGTACTGTTGTAGAATAAAAAGAAATCTTAATATAAAACATCTCTAAAATGTTAAATAAATGTATACATCTTCACAAAAAATGTAATATATTGCAGAAATACCCAAAAATGATTTTGTGTAAATAAAGTAGTTTTCATAGTATACTAAAATAGTTAACTGTAAAAAAAAAAGTGTCAAATAAAAAAAACGTAAAATGTATGTAAAAAGCTACGGCACTTTAAATAGAATCCAGCCATACAACGGCAGACAAGACAAGCAGGATTGGAATGAGTCCACAACACTCCTGATTGGTTGATATAAACGTCATCGAAAAAACCTGCCAATGAGCACTGTCCGCGCCTTTCAATCCAATTTGAAACTTCCACGTCAGTTTGAGCGGCTCTCCTGCGGAGCTATGTCTGCTCACGAGTTTATGGACTAATATCGGGATAGTTTTACATCTACACGTTAAATATGAGCATCAGGACGTCAACAGAGAACAGAAGACTTGAGATCTGGTGAGTCCTGCAACTGTAATGGAGTTAAACATGTATTTAGATAATCCTTAGTTTGTGAATGTTTAATTGTGTATTTAAGGTTACGTTTCTTCTTCTAGTTCAGTGAGTTTTGAGTGATGAGACATATATTTTAAGGGAATCTGTGGAATCTCAGCTTTCATATGATACGTTTGTGCAGATAGCATGAAGTAAAAAAGATCGCTTTTGCCAGTTATGTGCTAAAGTAGCGTTAGCCCCGTTAGCTGTTAGACTTGTGTTTCGTTTAGTTAAAAATGATTAATATCGTCAGTTAGCTGAGTTTCTTCCCGTTAAGTGGGTAAGCATCATCAATATGTTGTTACATTTTAAGAAGTCCTGAGATGCTGTTTCTTGCAAGATGTCCCACCGGCGGGACAATCGGGCTATACAGGTTAACAATGTGGCTGCTAACGTTAGCTTACAGCTTATTGCAGTGCTGCCGCCATCCTGTCGTCTCCAACGCGGGACGATTACACATAAACGTGCAGCAGGGTGTCAGTGTTGTCGCCAATCTTATTGTAAAGTTTCACAGCTTTTTAACTGCGGAATCCAGTTTGTTAATGTTCAGTAGCCAACAGCTATCATAGCATAAACTGCTAACCACTAACGTTTGGATAACTTGCTAGTTAGCTCTGCTCTATATATTACAAGCTAACATGACTAGCTAATGTCACACTGTGTGAACTACAATAGTTGTTGTATTACTACATCATACATGCTTGGTCCAAATCTCTGCTAAAATTATTATTTTTAACAAAATTATCATTAAAGTATCTTTATTTTTTTGCATTTGTATCACACTTGGCATAAACTATTTTAGTTAATCAATTAGAACTGGAGAATTAAAATAATGATTTGTGGTCATCAAAAACAATGTAATTTAAAGATAATTTTTTACCCATGTTGTGCCTTAGAAGATTTTTATTAAAAAAAGTAAGAAAGTTAAAAATGAAAATTGGTGTTGATCAAAAACAGGTTAATTGAGGAATTCCTGGAGGTAATTTATTGCAAAGATATTTACAATTTAAACTAATTTGGGTCACTTTTGACGCATGTTGGTTGTATGTTGTGTAACAAAGGGTTACCATGACAGCTGTGATGTTCACTCTTTTGACAGAGCACCAGTGGACAGTGAAGACTATGGAACAGAACATGTGATGGCTTTGTGTGGAAAGCTGCTGAAGCCAGCCGGTGACTCCTCATCAGTCTCTCCAGGCAGCACCCAGCTATTCTTCCATCTTGCAGATGAAAAGACTTTGATATGTGAGTAATAACTAACTTGTCTCTAACATAATATTGAATGTCAGTGTTTCCCCTAGGTTTACTGCTGATATATTCTTTAAATCCTCTGGAGCAGAGAGAGGAGCTGTGGATTATTGTTATTGATTAATGCATCAGTGTTTCTTAGGGTCAAAAACACTAAACTCAACTTAAAATGAAAGCGTTTAGTTTTTTTAATAAAAGAGCTCATGTTCAATGTGAAAAGTGACCGTAGATATAGATTAGTTGCAATTTGGTGCTATATATATATTTTTTTTTTTAAATAATACAAAAATATATATGGGTTAGGGTTAACCCTATCCAGTGGTTAGTTTTAGGGTAAGCTCCACTGTTTTTTTATTTTATGTATTCACTTTAAGAGAAAGGGATTTCAGAAACAAGTCGCACAAGTTTGGCTCGAAGTAAAATTAACAAAAGGTAACTGTTGTTACCCCTTCTAAACTGGAAGGGGTAATATGAAAAAATATGAACGACTCTTCATAGAGCCATGTCCACACAGCTTTAAAGTTGTAGGAAGCTGAAGCATTACATTCGTGCCAACGGCTAGTTGTCGTTTCTAAGGTATTAGAAAGTTGGTGTTCTGGAAGGTTTAGCATGCCCTTGGGATGCTCTCAATAACTGTTTTACAATTTTGTGTGTGTGTGTGTGTGTTTTGTGTAACCCTGCTTCAAAGGTCCATCATACAAGATGTAGGGGATCTATTGGCAGCTGCTGATAATAACATCATTATGGTTTACTAATAGTTATCACTTCACTTCCTCCTCCAGCACCTGGACACAGCAGGAACCTACGCCAGGATCCTGTTTGTGGACTTCAGCTCTGCCTTCAACACCATCATCCCGGCTCGGCAGTGATTAAGTCTCATGAATGTTTGCGTTTTACAGATGGAACCACACAGATGCACGGCGATGACACCAAGCTGCTTTTGAAAGGCAAGTCTATTAGACTTAGTGTAATTCCTCATGAGTCATTTGCAGGTTATTTTCAATTCTCACTTTACACTTTTCAATTATATTTTTCTTAAGACATTGCCATCCAGAAGATGACTTCGATGCTCGCTGAAGTACTTGTGGTGGTAAAGGACCTGTCCAGAGATGTGCAGTTAATCAAGAATGAGTTGGCAGAGGGCAACATGACCCCGGCTGGTAGTCAGGGACCAGGGTCAGCCACAACCCATATGTTCCCCATCCAGCTGCCAATCGCCAATGAAGACGACTTCAATGAGGCTGAATCATTGCTGAAGAATGAATCAGTCCGTCAAAAGATGGTAATTTGACAGACTGAACTGCACTAATTTATGAAATGTGGATAATATCAGTGCGGTCAAAATGTGCTTAGTTATTGCCCTTTAGCTACTCAACCACAAATAATTCTAGTCTTAGCTACTCAACCACATATAATTCTAGTCTACAAGTTCAAAACCTGTTACAGTGCATGTATGAGCAAGATCAGCTATTTATGGAAAAGTTTCGAAATTGTTCAAATATATTTTTTACATTTATATTGACATGACCAAAATTGGGACACCAGGGTTAAAGTGGTTAAACATAACGACTGGCATGAACTTGACTGAATACCATGGGTTGGAATATCAGTGTATCAAGTGTATAAAAAACAAAGTTGGTCTCTGTGTATGAAATAAGAGTGCTGTTGTGCTGTTTCTAACGTATGTCCCACAGAACGTAGCTCAATACAACAGTTAAAGCAGTGGCCTATTTGTTTCTCTCGTCTGATTTAGATTGCTCGCCTGGCTCTGGTAGGAGGCGCCAATTCAGAGAACCTGATCAGACGGATGCTGGCAACTGCTCTGACTTGGCCTGTCGGTACAACTGGGCTTGGAAGAAGCCATTCAAGGAAACGGCAATACAAGACTGCATATTTGGTGAGTTTCCTCCCCTGAAAACTACTTATTAGCTTAAGTTTAAGGAGTGAGGTGTGACTGATGGTGATTCAGAACATAATTATGCTCTTTGTGAGCCATATAGTACCGACTACCGAGTTTGAATCCAACTCCTATAATGTATTTTATGTCTCTTCTCTGCCCTTGTTTCATGTCTCTCTGTAATCCCCTGTTGAAGAATAAAGCATGAACTTAATCTAACAAAAAAGGTTAGGTTGGAATCAGGTGATGGTGAAGCTATAAGAAATAAACCAAAAAAAGACAACCTAATTGGTGAGCTTTAGAGGTGCTCGGATGCAAATGTTATTACCTGGATAGAGCCAAGCTAGCCTTTTGCTCCTCTTTCCAGTCCAGTCTTTGAGCAAACTGGCTGCTGACTGTAGCTTGTGTTACTGTACAGAGTGAGAGTGATTTTCTTATTATAACAGAAGTTGTATGGGATACACACACTCTCTCTCACGCTTATTTTTGTAATCTTGTCTTTCAGCTGCTGCTCGGCAGTTCGACCGCAAGCTGACCCACAATGGCTTCAGTGAAACTGTAAAGAAGTGGCTTCGTTATGCTCCGTTAGATTCCTATACCGGATCTCCTCTCTGGTAAACAAAAACACCCTGAAAACTCTGGCAGGAGCACTCATTCAAGGGTACTATGACTATGCTTGCACGTCATGGTACCATAGCACCTCCAAGGCGCTAAAAATAAAACTTCAAACATCGCAAAATAAACTGGTCAGACTACTGCTTGACCTTTCATCTAGAACCCACCTCACCTCTGCCCACTTTGACAACCTAGGATGGCTTAGAGTAGACGACAGAGTACAGCTACTTGCAATGGGCCTGGTCTACAAGATCCACTACACCTCTATGGTACCCATGTACATGTCAAAATTCTTCCCAAAGGTCAAGGAATACCATGATCATAACACCAGAGGGAGCTCCACAAATCATGTGAAACCCAGATTTGGCACAAAAAAGGGGGAATACACGTTTCGCAATTATGCCACATCAAGGTGGAACGCTCTTCCCACAACTGTAAAGGAAAGTAAAACTATACTTACCTTCAAAACCTCTCTTAAAGAGCACCTTCGGGGGAGAGCATTGCAAAACTGGCCCCGGTAATGGTACAAATCTCAACCTGTCGTACAATGGACAGCTCCCCCCCCCCATATATGTATATACTCGCATTTTAGACTCTGTTACTAACTGTACATCTGTAGACTTGGTATGTCTTAAATGTCCGGTTAGGATGTATTAGAACGAAATCTAAAATGAAAATTGTAAATAAGCAATCTGTATGTAAAAAACCACCTGTATGTAAATTGTAAATAAGCCATCTGTATGTCAAATATGTCTTATATGTCTTAAATGATATGATGAATTGGAAATGGGGGACCCTGATGTAAACAAGACGAAAGTCTTTCGCTGGTCTGCATCCCCTTAACAATTGTATGTTTTGAGCTGTACTGTACTGTACCCAATATACAAGCTGTTAATAAACTTTTCAATCAATCAATCAATCAATCTCCAGAGCGCGAGGGAGGCATCCCAAGGAACACAAGTGAAACGAACACAAGTGAAACAAACGCAAGTCCAACTTAGGGTACCCCACCACACTCTAATGTGTTTTCCTTGTGCATACAGTACAAAGGTTACCGCCTCACAGACAATACACACCACAGTGTGTAGTTGGTTGGACAAAGAGTCGTGTACAGTGACACCTACGCTGTCACTCACACCTACGCTGTCATTGGAGGCAGTCGCAATTTCTACAGGCTCGCACTTACCTGTTAGCATCTGGCATCTGTTAGCATCTAGCAGCATCTAGCTCTCCTGCTTACAAACTTTTAGCCATCCCTGCTTATACAAGTAGTAGTTTTAGTTGTCTGCGAACTGTGGAGGTCTACTCCCACCTGTCGAGTGCGGCTGTACTGAGGTGTTTTTCCTCCGTAGACGTCGCGAAGAGACGGAGCAGCTCCACCTGTTGCTGCATGCGATCTGGGATTTACGGAAGCCTGCTCGTCGCGAAGAGACGGAGTGGCTCCACCTGTTTGTTTGCTGCCTGCGATCTGCGATCTACGGAGGCCTGCTCCCACCTGTAGAATACGGCTGTACTGGAGAGGTTTTTACCCCGGAGTCGTCGCGGAGAGACGGAGTGGATCCACGCTTCGGGCTTGGCCTGCTTCCACCGGGCGTGTGCTGCTGTGCGGAGGAGGATTTTACCACCGGTGGGGCCTGCTTTCCACCTGTCCTGGTTCTGCTGTTGCAGAGGTCTGCTTTCACCCCGGGGATACCACGGAGGGACCGGAGCGCTTCCACGCTGCTGTTTTCGCCCGTCCTTTGCTGCTGTGCTGATTTTGCTCCAGAACATCGCTGATACTGTGTGCTGGTCTGGGAAAATGGCCCATATCGGGATTCTGCTGTGCCTGTTAACTGTTTTGGACTATGAGAAGATCTCTAGTCATTCTGAGAAGACTACTGGATTCAGGTCTCAGTGTGCGAAAAAGTACACGTCCCACCGTCCGGGACGTGTTATTTACAATATCGGACAAGTAGATCTTTCAATTGACTTGTCCGGCGGACAAGTGACGTTTTTCGGCCTGATTTATTGACAAATTATTGATACATTCGGTTTACAAAAGGCAGAACTCAATCGCAAATTGTACGTGTCCGCCATTGTTCGTTTAGATTCTGCTTGTCGATTCCTAAGGAAATGCATCTCGCCGCTTTCTGTACAGTTAGACGGGGCGGGGCGGGTGGGAAGTGTAGCACAGTGGCAGGGTTGGGAAGCAAAACACGGTTCCGATTAGGAACAAATATCAATTGTCCGGTACCGGGATTAATAAGAGTTGTGAGGACAGGAGGCGAGGCCGAGCCCCGCGGACTGCAGCTCTATCTATGCTCCGTATCAGCTGATCGCTGCACGGTGCAGCTCAGCGTCTCTCTCTCTTTCTACACACAGCGGATCCGCTGCCCGATTAACAGCCTCATCTTTGTCAAACTTTCTTATGTTCTTTCTCTAACGCATAATGAAGGTTATTAAGCGTTTTAACTCCTATGTTGTTAATATTGACCACCATTTCCTTTTATGAAGTAAAGCAACCTCCCTGTCTGTGTCCTCGCGCTGTCCTCACATCCCCGGACCCCCAGACTCAGAGGAGCACAGGGATGTCAGCAGAGACGTGCACACATAGACTCTAGGTAGTGCTTGAGCACCTGCCCGTTTTGCCCTCTGGACAGCAATGTGCCCTTTTGAAAGTTCGTTTTTTACAGTTTAATTTTTTTTTTACAGTGTACTGTATGTGGCTCATGGTAACATCGATCAATTCTGGATTAAAAGCTTCTAATATATACAACAATGCCCCAAATGCGCGTTGTAATTTTGTCAGACATCCCCACGCGTGCCCCGCGGCACTCCCGTACTCCTGGCTGCAGCCCCTCCCTTCCCTGCTCTCAACGTGAGCGCGCAGAGCTGACAGTCAGTCTAGTGATGGGAATTCCGGCTCTTCTTGGTGAGCCGGATCATTTGGCTCGGCTCACCAAGAAGAGCCGGCTCTTTCGGCTCCCAAACGGCTCTTCAGTTTACCACTTATTATACCTTTTAATTAAATCAAATGTAGCCCTGTTTTGACTAATGATTTATATTTGTACACATATATCACTTAAATTATTCAATACATCCTTTGTACTGAAGTATTCAAAAGTAAAAATTACATGTTTAATATAAATGATTTGCTGTGGCCAATTGTTTTCATTGCATTTACAGACCCGTGCAACTCTCTGATACCACCCAATGAATGCATTGACTTGCTTGTAGAACCACACTACACAAAACAGATAGCAACACCTATAAAAACTATTTAAAAAAAGGGGCTACTGTATCGACCTATATAAATATAGTTTTTTTTTTCAAAATACCAAAAAGATCCTGTATTTTAGCCATGCCTCATTTCGCTCTATTTGCTCCATCCAGCGCTGTTTTTGCAGGGGGCTGATTCTGTGAGCTGCAGCTGACCACGCCCCCCTGCAGGAGAGGGGAGCGTGCTCTGAGATCAGCTGCTGGGCTGTCAGAAGAGGGGGAGAAAAAGAGATCTCCGTCCTCCTTGTTTTATTCTTATAGAAGTAAGAAGAGAAGTAATGGGGCAGAAACCCTCCTTTTTACGCAGCGGTCCAGACATAGACATCAAACTGCGACACATATTCAGTTGCCAGTTACTTTAGCATTAGGGCAGGGATATCTAGATACTTTCCAAGGTTTGACATAATGAATTGAGCTACTTTTAAAGCAAGCAACGATGTTTTCAAATCTGTAATCAAAAACACTATCGAAGCAGTTCCTGCCGTTGCTACGTTAGTTCAAACAGTAACAACGGACTACTTTTCTTAGCGGATGCATGTCAATTTAAATCAATACATAAAACTTTTTTAAATCAATAAAATCATTTTCTAAATCCATAAAAGCATTTCCATTACTATTGGGAGTCATGTCGTTACTTTGTTGAGAATGTGGCCATGTAATAAGCGGGATAATGTGCACATTGCAAATGTGCCTTCATGCCGATCTAGATCCCTCTGCAAAAATGGCTCGTTCGCGGGCGAGAGCCGGCTCCCGTCGTTCACTTAAAAGAGCCGGCTCTTTGCGCCGGCTCGTTCGCGACCGACACATCACTAAGTCAGTCACTCAGTCAGACAGGCCACGGCGGGTGTGTGGTGCAGCAGCACGCAGCAACACGATTAAAAGTGCCCTAGTGACGACCAAGTCAGTAACCAACAGGTAACAAATACAACGAGTGTATTGTTTAATCCCCTAAATCAGATGCCAAACTAAACTATACAGGGTTCGTACCGTACGGTCATTCAAAACCTGGAAAAGTCATGGAAATTCAAAATGCAAATTCCAGGCCCTGGAAAAGTTATGGAAAACAATATTTTTCCCAAAGTTTTGGAAAAGTCATGGAAATGTAACTAAAGTTGCGTCAAATATAATTTACATTTTATCTAATCGCCGAAATAATCTGCGGTCGCGCGCTGTTATGTGCGCATGGTGTTATTTTTTAATATATGAAGCGCGAGCTGTGTGCTCGAGTCTTCTTGCCTGTCGGGCCGGCTGAACTCTGCTGCTCCGGGATGAGGGTCAGCTACATTAGCTACGGTGCGTTCGTTAACTGTGCGGAGTCACTGTGGCACAGACTGCACCGCTGGTGAACAGCTGTTAGTAGTAGAAGTACTCAGATCTTGTACTTGAGTAAAAGTAGAAGTATTCAGATCTTGTACTTTAGTAGAAATACTCAGATCTTGTACTTAATAAAAGTAGAAGTAATCAGATCTTGTACTTGAGTAAAAGTAGAAGTACCACAGTGTAGGAATACTCTGTTACAGTAAAAATCCTGCATTCAAAATGTTCCTCAAGTGAAAGTAGAAAAGTATTATAAAAATACTAAGAGGCATGAAAATACATTTTCAAAATGCTCAACAGTGCTGCCAAAATTATAAACTGACTGCTACACAATTAAAATAAATGCTTTTATATATTTCTATTAGATGTAACTCTTTGGCGTTTCTGTTATTATTACCTGCTGCTTTAGTTGTTCTGACTGCTAAAATCCTCTGTTATTCCTCATTTTAAAGCCGATATTCCGTGGGGTCGGGGGCTCGGATCCTTGTCACCTTTTTCATACCTGATGAGTTTGCATCCCTGACTACAGTTGCTTTAGCGTGTAGAAGCTAGTAAGCCTACTATTTGATTTGTTTTAGATAGGCATCTGCATCAGACAGCATAT